TTTCTCTTCAGTTATTAGCTGTAGCTAATTATCTCTCTGCCTGCTCTAAGTGCTACATTTAAAAAAAAAAGTATTTTTTTCTCTTTAATTTCTAATGGTAAACTACAGACTTCAATTTATCGTGACCCACGGCAAATTTTAGGGTTTCCCCTTGTTTTCATCTGCTGTGCTTTTATTTGATGCTTCTTGCTCTTTTTGCCTTATTCCACAAAAATTCCACATTCTCTGTCCTTCTTATAATTTTGTTTGATCTGTTATGATTTTGATGCTGAGAAATCACCTTCTTTCTCCAAGATATAGTATTCCCCTGAGATACAAGAATCCTCTCTTAGAAGATGCACTTTTATATGCTTTCCCCAGCTATTGATTTCCCTGTGTTTCTAAACCGACCGTCACCCCATTGTATCCTTGGCTGGAGTCAGGAATGTTTTCATTTGCCATTTATTTTAGAGTAATTTGCAGCTTTGATAAACACATGCCTATATCCCAAAAGTCAAGAATGTAAAGGGCTCATATCATTTCCCTGGGACTAGGGTTATATACTCTCTAGTAAGTTATCTAATGTTTTTTTCCTCCAGCTTCAATTGCTTTCAAATATTAGAATTTGTATTAAGTCCTCATTCAATTGATTTTCAGTATGCTGTCTAGTAAATTTTCCATGTTGCTTGTTTTTTGAAATTAGCTTCACTGTCCTTTTGCATGAAATGGATTATGGCTCTTTAACAAAACAAAACCAAACTAAACATTTCAATGAAACCTTCTTGACTGTCTATTCAGAATGTTTGTTTATTTTCCTCTGGCACATTTAATTTTTTAGCAAATGTTGCTTAAATTTATTACTCCTACTATAACCTAAGAACTTACAGGACTGACTATATATCATTTGAATTCAATAAGAAGAAAGTAGACGTAGGGAATTGGATAAAATATATTAATCATTTACTTAATCTTGAATTATGTGAATAAGTTCATGTTCAAAAATAACCCCTTGCCCTATTCTACTTTCTAAATTTATATGCAGTATATCTCTTACTTTTCTTGTGTTTATTAGCATACTCTGTTCTATTCTCACCTAATATTCCATTTAATTAAAATAATGGTTATTTTTCCCTCATTAAGACAAACAACAAATTGCCTGATACAAGTGCACGTACATATAACTCAGTTCCCTCCTTGGTTTTCAGTTAGACCACAAATGCTGTATTGAACGTACACACATATACACATACACACACACAAACACAAACATGCATCCTGAAGCCCCTCAGCCCAGCTAGAATGGAAGACTCTATCTGTGGATGGCTAATGAAAAATCTGTTATGCCAAAGATCATTCAATTCACTTTAATGATATTGGAGATACTATGCTAGGCATTATAGGAGAGGCAGAGATGAATAATACATACTTCTAATTCTCAAAGATCTCTCAACAGTTCCTTTCAAGACATCTTCATTACAAAATGAAGCCAAGAGATTTACTTGTCTCAGACTATCTTTATTGAAAAGTGATGGATCCACTTGCTCTATCCGTACAAACCCTCATACAAGGGTCTCCCATTTGAGCGATGCCCATATTTGACCACACTGCTACTCTGCAGACTCACTTAAGTATGGTAGAGCTTTGGATTGATGAGACCCTCATATAGTAGATGGATTTAGCTGTTCAAAGTTAGAAAAATTTTTAGCGAGGCTGATAGGTGACCTCCTTATGCCATATTCTGGGAAAACACATAGTGAGGGGAATGTACTAATAAAGGAAAATAGGTTATTACCATATTGTGGAACTGAAAAATAATGGAAAGTTGGTCATTTCAATATTGTGGGAAGATATTCTGAAATGATATTTAAGAATAATTAATGCAAAACATAAATACTTCCCTTCTGGTATTACTTAACATCTAGGCTCCTACAGGATTTGTGTAAATATCCATTCGTTATGCATCAGGCCGTTTTGGGAAATTATCTGTAAACATAACTTTGGAGGGTGTTGGGCTTTCTCTCAGGAAGTCACCTGTGTAGTGGGATATAGAAGCATAGAGAAGGACTCATCCAATCTATTCTCTTTTCTATCAGCCTATGTTTGTTCTTTTCAAAAATCCACCATCGATACCAATACTTAATATTTATTTAGGGTTTTGAAGTATATAGACTACTTTTGTTAGTAGTCATTACATGATTCGATGATTAAAATAATACCATTAAGATAAGCAGTCAGAGAAAAAAAGTGAATCTAGGAGACATTGCATCTCTCTGTGGATTGTAAGACTCATAAGTGGTGGGACAGTTATTCATTTTTCAAAAAAAATTTATATCCCTACTATGTGCAGGGGACAATGATGAACACTGTTTAGGTACTAAGGAGAGAAAGATGGAAGATAGTTACTGCCTAAATAAGCCCGTTTTAAATATCATGTGACCAGGCCTATGCTAGGGAACACAGGTCTCCTGGCTACTCTTTTTTTTTTTTTTTTTTTTTGAGACAGAGTCTTGCTTTGTTGTCCAGGCTAGAGTGAGTGCCATGGCGTCAGCCTAGCTCACAGCAACCTCAAACTCCTGGGCTCAAGCAATCCTTCTGCCTCAGCCTCCCAAGTAGCTGGGACTACAGGCATGTGCCACCATGCCTGGCTAATTTTTTCTATATATATATATTTTTTAGTTGTCCAGATCATTTCTTTCTATTTTTTAGTAGAGACGGGGTCTCGCTCTTGCTCAGGCTGGTCTCGAACTCCTGACCTTGAGCGATCCACCCGCCTCGGCCTCCCAGAGTGCTAGGATTACAGGCGTGAGCCACCACGCCCAGCCTCCCGGCTACTCTTTAGTGGATTTTTCTACTTCACTACTGGATCATCATTAGAAAGTCCTTCCATGTGCTATTAAAAATTATCTCCCTTTGAAATACAAATCACCCTGGGAAAGTATCTCATTTAACCTTTATCTACTACCAGTGCTTTTTTAGGAATAAGTTGATGAGATGCTTCCTAAGTGGTAGGTATTGAAAGCAGTTCCCTGCAGAACGAATTACAGAAAAGCATTCCTTGTGGCTGGGGAGGGGTGAAGTGTCAGGGAGGGCCTGGGTAGAATGCAAAAGATGGGCGGAGTTGAGACTATAGCAGGAACATTGACATCATCAGATAATTAGAACTGTATGTTACTATGAAAGAAGCTGCATGACCATGGAGACCAGTTCAATCTGGAAGATTAGGGAGTTTCTTGTGTTCAAATAACTGAATTGGACCCTAAAACATTAAGAATAAGTCAGCAGAGTTATTGTGTTTACTGTCATCACTCAGTGATCAAGGAGCCCCCTCAAAATAGCATTTTTGGGGAAAAGTGAAAAAATGGTTTGCTTTACGCCAAAATTCTCCAGGCCTACTAACTAGGCTCGCATTGGTAACTTCTCACATCTCCACAGAAAATGCACGTCTTCAAGAAGACCTTGCAGGCGTTGATTTACCCCATGTCCTCCACCACACCACACAATTTTGAGGTCTGGACAGCTACCACGCCCACCTACTGCTACGAGTGTGAAGGACTTCTGTGGGGCATTGCTCGGCAAGGCATGAAGTGTTTGGAGTGTGGAGTGAAGTGCCATGAGAAGTGTCAGGACCTCCTAAATGCCGACTGTTTGCAGAGTGAGTACTTGGTCAGGCTGAAGACATGGTATGCCGAGCCTGCTTTATTCCATGTTTTTTCAGATGAGATCTCTTCAGCTCTTGCCGGTTTTCAACTCCTACCTATCCACCCCTCACCATTTACACAAAGATACACATACTGCCCATCAAATCATAGCTGATGATGCAAACCTGCAGTGTTGAACTAGGCGCTATTAGAATCCTCAGAGTGAGTAATTGGAGTAAAATTACACTCTCATCAAGTATGAAATTTCAAAGTGGCTTCCAATCTATTTTCTTACCCGTGTGTCATAATAGGCCCATGTGGGAAGTGGGAATGTGTCAAGTTGTGTTCCCCAAACGGGCCAAGACACACCTCTGCAATTATGGCATCTGGAATTCGTTTTCAAGCCTATTTAGTGAGAAGATTTATGTACTTCTACAGCCCCAACTACACAGTCCTTAGAAATGAGGGGTCTTGGGTTTGAATGTTAAGACAAGTATAGCTTACCAGATATGTGACCTTGAGCAAATTTTTTAACTTATTGGGGCTTCATTTTCCTCCACTGAATGAAAAGGGATGATCAAATTTACTTCAGAGGGTTATTAGAAAGGCTAAAAATGAAATAGTCTCTGTTAAGAGTCTGGCGTATAATAGATGCTCAATGAATATTAATGACCTCTCCATCCTTTCACACTTTTGAATGGGTAAATGCTGCTTTGACTGTGATGACAAGTTATCTTAAATTTTACATTTCCCCAAAAATCCTTTATCTGATACTTTAGGTCCAGAAATGCCAATACATTAGGCTCTAAAATACCTATAATTGACTCTTCACTGCTGTATTTATTTGGTAATGTCACTAAAAAAAAATTGCCAAGAAATTCTGTTTAAACATGTAT